TAATTCCATCAAAAAAAACAAAAATTGTCTAATTCAACTTAATTTTATCTAAAAAAATTAATTTTGTTCAGTTAGCTATATTAATTCTGACCGACACTTAGAAAATCAATATTTAACATTATCATATATTCAGGGAGGGCGCATTTAGGGGGCTTTCTTTATATTAAAATTATTAATTTTACTGATTCTATCAATTCTACAAAGATATCAGATGTTCCAAAACGCAAATTTCATGGGAAAATTCGCTAAATATTGTATTACCGCCTCGTCTGAAATATAAAGCAGCAAATGCAAGTTTGGTTAGGTTCAATGGAGGATTCCTATTATGTCTTTTTTTGTCACATTGTGACATGTCTAAGCTTAAAATATGGAAGAACTTGTAATTAGAATCTTTGATTATGTAATCGAAGATAATTTTTGCTCATAAGCCGATCTAAATCGTCAAGAAACTTCAACTCCCGCAACCGATGGCATACTTCCAGGCATTCATTGTAAATATCACTGAGATTTTACTAAATGTTCGTTGTTTTAAATTATCAAATTTTGACATGCTTACAGAATGAACGCCCCAAGCAAGGCTTGGATATTATCCAATCAAGGTTGAAAGGGATAAAATCGTTGAATCTCGAAGTTGCAGAATATTTTAAAGAACGGTAATGCTTAAAGTTTATCAAAGTTAATAATAAAGCCGAGACATTTAATATTTCATTTAAATAGCGCCGTATTGGAAGATAATTATGTAAAAGGTCTTCAACGGTTGGCGAATAAGCCATTTATATCGGATAAATCGAATTTGGGGTAAATCATTATAAAATTAAATTTTATGCCAGTATTAATCTATTATCATTAATGAAATTATTAAATGAATAAAATGATCTAGCACCTTCGCAAGTGTTTGGGATATACTTTTTAATGAGACTAACGAACTAATTGAAATCCATTCGGCCTTTATCAAAAGAGTGCACGAGGAAGTCGAAGCTCAACTACGCGAAAAAGTAACGTCCGATTCAGAATGGGCGCAGTTGAAACAGGTAAAATGTTGGCTCTAAAATTTCCATTGATGATGACACCCAAATTCAAACTCTAATCGATCTTTAATTTTTCAGCATGAAACCAATTTAAGTAAATTAGCACGGGAACACGAGGAAAAGCACGCTAAAGTTAACAAGGTATTTCTTGTATTATTGATTCAAAAAAAAAAGAAATGTTCGGGAAGAGAGGATTACTTACACAAGTATATTTATTGACGAACATCAAAGAAAAGAAGCAAAACTGAAAAACTTGTCGGAAAAAAGGCCGAATCCTTTGGTAAATATCTATATCGAAAGTTTAAATTTGGTAATACATTTTAATAATGTGATTCTTGTTTAAACTGGCATTATCAGAAAGTAAATTGATGGAAGTACAAAGAGCGTTTGAACAAACGCATAACGAATGGACCGATTCATGGTCGCAATTTCTTGAGGTGAGTAATTTAGAAAGTTCTATTGTTAAGTCAACTTATCATTCATTTTTATTTATAGAGAATACAAGCAGTTGACATGTCAAGGTTATTGAAGTTAAAAGAAATATTAGTCGGTTTTGAAACAATACAAGCTGAATCCTATCAAAATAGAGTCACGGTAATTACCATTATTATTATTATCATTATCGTATAGCATTCATTCTTATTTCGTATTAATATGCGTAAATTTAGATCACTGAGAAGACTCTAAATTCCATAATGGACTTTGACGCACAGAATGAAATTGAATTTTTTTGTGCTAAGAAATCGGGAGTCGAAGGTTTTTCACCGATATTTATCTTTATTCATTGTCTGAGGGAACAATCGCGGGTGAACGGCTTATTAATCAAAATAATTTTCGTTGACGTTTATCCCAGTTAAAAGATTTACCCCGAATTTTTCGTACGTAAAAATTTATTCCCAGCTATTTATTCCAAATCTTTATTTCGCTAGCTGACGCGGTTAATCTATTAATAGAGAATCCATGGTATCGCAAATGGTAGCTCATAATGGTGCGGGGAACGAGAGTGATGGGTTCAAAAGTTCAAGTAGTGTTTCCAATTTTCAGAACGGTCAGGCACCATCTTCTACGGTGTGTAATCGGCACCTTTATCTTATTAGAAGGCGAAACTATATTTTCTAAAAAAAAAAAAAAAAAGAAATCTCATTTGTTTGTTGTTCTACAATCTCAATATTCACTGCCGTAAAATTATTTTTCTTTCAGTCAAAAGTTTCTGTAAATGAAGGATCTTCGATTTCTACTTCAGAATCAAATCAAGTAAATGGTTCCCTTTCAGACGTCGGTGTTAGGTGTGACTCTGTCGGACATTTAATTCATAGACAAGAGTAAGAGTTATATATATCAATGCTTTTTATGCATCAATTAAAATATTGTAGCTTAAGGACTTTCTCCATAATTAAAGAAATAGTACTTATAGTACACTTGCCGATCCTTCCATGGGTTCGCCTTCAAATACGGCTCAATCACCAACATCTTTTGAATTTCCAGAATCTGTCAATTATCAAATCACAGCACCTGGTTCTGAAGTATACCCACATGGATTGCATGCAATTATATCGGAGACCATTAATGTAATGTCCAAGAGAGGAGATATTGTGAAGATTTTTGTAACGGGGGAAATAAGTATTTCGTACAATTTTCCGACCATAGAGGATCACTCAACGCCAATTAGGATTCGGATAAAAAATTTCGAAGCATTGGAAAAATTTGTACTTAACACATCATATATGCGTGATGTCCCGGAAAGTCCCGGACTCTATGATATTGATACCAGTTCGTTCTCTCTTTTGGGTGGTGCTCCGGTAGCGGTGATGAAATATCAACTTAAAATTGATCACACAAACAGGAATCTATTTGTACCGCTACAGGTCATTCCACAATGGAAATGCGACCCGAACCTTACGCTAGTAATGATAAACTATCAAGCCAATCCTGAATGCCTACTCTCTGGAAAGTTGACCGATCTTTCATTTATAATACCCGTCGATGGAAAAGTTGAAACCGCACAATCAAATCCGACCGGTGTATGGAGCACAGAAAAGCAGATGATGTATTGGAAAGCTGATGATATAGATTTGGCAGTCCCTCCTGAACGAAAAAGAATTTTAGCTCGTTTCGAGACTCTAGAATTATCTAAGCATGCACCAGCAACCATCAAATTTGTATGCAAGGGACAATTACTTAGTAAAATTTCCCTAGAAATACAAAAGGTTATTCCGAATGGAAATGGTGTCCATGAACATGACGGTCACCTCGAAATCGACGATATTTTTAAATTTAAAGAGGTGATTTGTCAAGTGGCAAGTGGAAAGTATATAGCATCACCGTAAATTTGGTTCACTGACGAAATGGATTAGAGTTTGTAAATTATTTCCTCTATTTTTTTTTTTTTTTTTTTTC